GACAAGAACTCAGAGCCACAGTCCCCGGACACACCACAGTGTGTGTGTGTGTGTGTGTATGTGTGTGTGTCCACTTTAAGACAAGAACTCAGCCACAGGCCCCAGACACGCCACAGTGTGTGTGTGTGTGTGTCCACTTTAAGACAAGAACTCAGAGAGCCACAGGCCCCAGACACGCCACAGTGTGTGTGTGTGTGTGTGTGTGTGTGTNGTGTGTGTGTGTGTGTGTCCACTTTAAGACAAGAACTCAGAGAGCCACAGGCCCCAGACACGCCACAGTGTGTGTGTGTGTGTGTGTGTGTGTGTGTCCACTTTAAGACAAGAACTCAGAGAGCCACAGGCCCCAGACACGCCACAGTGTCTGTGTGTGTGTGTGTGTGTGTGTGTGTGTGCGTGCATGCATGCACACACACACGCACTCAGGGCAGCATATAGAGAAAGGACTGTGGGAAGTGTGGGGCCTGAGTTCTAACCTCACTCAGACCTCACCAGCTGAAAGAGTTGGGGCAAGGCTTTCCCTTCCCTAGGTCTCAGTTTCCAGTAATATCAGAAGTGATGTTACCTGCCTGCCCCATCCTCCTTGCATCGGCTCTGAGGGGTGCAGGAGGATAATCAAGTATTTCCTGAGAAGATACTGCCTGCCCAACATTGAGATAACTTCCTGAGAGTGTTCTTGGGAGAGGAACAAGAGTTATACGAGTTGAAGTTGTTATATCCTTCTCCGTTAATCTCCTGGGCTCTTCTCTTACTGCTTGGTGGTTACAAGTACAGACTCCATTTGCTTCCGAATCATCCCATGGGCAGGGACAGATGAAACAAGAGACACCAGGATTAAGGTTGGGTCCATGGGATGTTCATCATTCTATTCTACTTTTTAAAAATATGTTTGCAGTTATTCTTAATGTTGAAAGTTTAACAAGGAAAACTACAGGCCCTGGAGCCAGATTGCCTGGGTTTTCATCCTGTCACTTACTATGTGGACCTTGGAAAAGTTACTTAACTTCTTTGTGCCTCCAGTTTCCTCATCAGCAAAATGAGGGTACTAATTAATGACTAGCTTCATAGAGTTTTTGTGAATGTTAAAGGATTAAACAGGTGTAAAGCTTCTGGGACTGTGGTTCAAGTAAGTGCTAAAAATGTGTTAGCCATTGTTTGGAGAAAGTAGGCACCAAAGCACTGCATGTTGCTGTGCTCAAGTTATCACTGTGAGTGTCATGGAATCACACATTCAGTTTTGGAGATCTTCTAAGTCATGCCTGCTACTTGGAATCTGAGTCTAGGTTTTCTGAAGCAGATCCTGGGACAGTGCAAATAGTTTATTTGGGAGGAGATGCCAGGTAATATCAGGAAAGAAGTAGGGAAGTGAGAACGGAAAGGCGGGGCACCAGGAAGAGTGGCTGTGACAGGCAGCACTGCGGGCAGCTCTGCATGGTCCACTGGGAATTCTGGGAGCCAGCATGGAGCATGTGCTCAGGGTCATCCCACCCAAGGGGCGAGGGAGCTCAGGGGTTCTTGGGCGAGGTCCGATACATGGAGCTAGGCAGTCCCTGAGGCAGAATGGCAGATGCTGGCAGGTGGCAGGCAGGCAGGCATGAGACCAAATGCAGAGGGGGATGTGGTTGGGGCACCAGATGCATGTGCCGCAGAACCCATCTGTCAGCTCTCTGATAAGTGTTCATCTAACACTTGCATAAAGCTTTACAATGATGGGCGCTCCCACCTTCAGAATCAGCCACAGTGTCGTTTGGATGATTCTGAGTCATTATTAAATTAGGGGTAATAAAGACAAAAACATTTCTGTGCTGTTTACAATCAGGGCAGCCCCTTGAATAGGAATGATGAGTATGTGGCATTAGGGACTCTGTGTCAGATGCTGAGGCATCTCTTCTCAGTCCTGGCGATTTCGTACTGAGCCAGGATAGATCTTCAAAATCTTTCTTAACAGAGCTTTAGGTGTCCATTCCAAACCCATCAGTGTAGGCACTTTGGTGAAGCCAGGTTGTCAGCCCTGCCTTAGGATTTATGAAGCTGGGGGAAATCTGAGGCTGGAAAAAGCTCTGAGCTAGGTTAGAAACCTTCTGTGTCAAGGACCCACTATATGAGTCTAAGTAAGACATTTAACTTCTCTGGCTCTCTGTGCTCTTCTGGGGAGAGTGAAGAAACTGACTAAAACAAGGCAGACATGAGGTTTGGTGCAGTAGAAAGAGCCTGCTCTTTTACAATCAGGCAGGGTGTCTTAGACCGTGGCATCATCATTTATAAACTATGTTCCTTGGGCAGGTCACATCACCCACTCTGAGCCTTGGTATCTTATTCTGTAGTACCCAGTCTGTGGTGGTGGTGCTATGGGTATCAGAGATAATGTATGTGAGCAGGAGCTCAGTAATTGTTCCCTGTAATTGTCATCATAATTATCATCATCTTCATTTAAAGTCCTCCCAGCTCTAAAACTCTGACTTTATGAAATGTCCTCATCCAGGAAGACAGGGTGGTAAAACAGGGCAACGGCCCTGATTTTGTGTAAATGCACCATCTAATAAGGACAGGAGGAGCATAATTGCCCCCAAATAATCGCTCTGACTTTACCACAAGCTGTCAGAAGGCCTTAATTGGTCACTCCGTAATGGCTGTGGCCATCTGTATTCGGGGTGATTTAGCGAAGGGGCTCTGCCCAAGCGGGGCCCTCCATGATTAGAGCCGGCTGGGGTGATATTTCTTCCTCTGATGGGAGTAGTGGTGTGTGGTACGGAGATTATCTCATTCTCGTTGTAATGACCTACTGGTTGAACCCAGCCAAGAAGAAGCAGTGGTCACAGACAATGATTGTGGATTTTTTCTTTCTTTGAAGATAGTGTTCCTGCCCGAACAGCAGCATATTTGGAATGTGATCATGCCTCTTGCTACCTTATCTTGTTGCCCAAGAAAGTCTCTTTTGGAAAGATTTAGTCCCTCAATTAGGGCAAATTGATTTCTGCTTTCCACAGAGTCACTGTTCCAAAGAGAAGTGGGAAAGGGCGAGAGAAGCCATATTAATCTTTGTGTACAAGCAAGAGGAGACCTGGAACATTTTTTAGCCTTACAGCCTCTGGTTGTATGTATGTAGATCGTCTTTTCTCTGTATTCTAATTTCTCCTGCCTACAAGAAACACGCTTCATCTCAATGAAGTTCCTGGTGACAAAAATCAAAGTGCTGGAAGCAGTGTTTCCCTAAGTGTACCAGCACAGAAGTCATTTTTTCATTCATTCATTTATTTATTCATTGACACAGGGTCTCATTCTGTCATCCAGGCTGGAGTGCAGTGGCTCGATCATGGCTCACTGCAGCCTCAATCTCCCCAGTTCAAGCAATCCCCCCACCTCAGCCTCCTGAAGTGCTGGGGTTATAGGCACAGTGCCTGCCCCAAAAGTGATTTTAAGTCATACCTAAGATGATTACAGGTAGTTCAGAGACTTTGCATTAAGTAACACTGGATAATGCAGAGAGAAAGCTTCCTCTTTTCAATTCTCTTTCATTCTTTTGATCACCTCAAATGGTTTTCCATAGCTCGCTGCTTGACAAAGAGAGGGCAGACCATAAGCTCATAGTTGTAGAGAGGCAGGAGTATCTGGTAGAAATAAAAAATCTTACAACAAATTTTTATTTGGTGGAGATTTTTATTTATTAGCTCTTTATTAGAAATGATACCATTTTTTTCATCTATTGTGTTTAAAGTTTCCTTTTAAAATAAATTTAATGAAAAGTTTAATTTTTAAAAGTGAGTTGATTTTTAAAACAACTAAGTAAATTGTAGTAAAGTAGATGAATGCAGCAAAAATCAAGATGGTAGTATACGATTGTTAGAGACTGGGGAAACACAGCTAGAAGAAGGAAACCATCATGTTTCCACCGCAGACCCAGGAATTTACTGGCTGTATGTCCAATCCTTATGCCTTTTCTTTTTCTTACCAATTACACTAGCTAAGAATTCTAGTATAATATTGAATAGATGTTGTGAAAGCATACAGCTTTCTCCCGATCACAGGAGGAAAGCATCCCACATTTCATCATTAAGTATGATATATGCTGTAGGTTTCTTTTGCAGCCATTCTAGAGTCTTCATAAAGGACCCCAAGCCTGATTAAAATCAAGAGACAACAGTGCTGAGGCTGAGACTTTTAGGAGAAAGCGACTGTCTTTGATATTTATTCAAAACAACTTATCCAGGCTTGGGGCAGAAATCCAACCCACATTAGGATAAGCAAGGAGAGGAATTTGCTGTCTTGTGTAATAAGAGCATCTAGGAGTCTGTCTACTTCAGGCGCGTGGGTCTAGGGAACTGAAATGTCATCAGGACAATGTCTCTCTCTCTCCATACCTTGACTCTTATTTTTATAGGTCGGCTTTAGTCTCAATATATTCCCCTACCACCTCTCATCACCTCATTTCACCAAAGATGTCATTAGTGGCTCCAAATTTATGGCCAACCAACTAGCAAAAGGAAGGGGCCTCCTTTTTCAATAATCCTGAAAACATTCTCAGCACCCATTATTTGGACCTACCAAGGCCACATGGCCATCCCTGAAACAATCACCGTGGCCAAGGGAATGGAATGCCCTGACTGGTCCATCATCCCCCAGGGAATGGAGTCAGCCCCACCAAAGTCTGATGGACTGGGAAAGGAAGGGGCAGTGTCCCAAAGAAAAAGAAAAATATTGTTACCAGAAGACGAGGGAATGGGTCCCAGTAAGGCATAAACCAAAAATACTTACACCCTTGGATGGAAGATCTCTCTGTTCCAGGTCTGGGCACCATCGTTGGACCTCTTTGAGCCTTAATTTCTCCATCTGTAGTACACACGTGATGATCCCTGCCCTTCTTCACCCTGTCTGAAAGGTCTAGTGAGGCAGTGTACAGGAAAGCTGCATCTAGACTGTGAAGTGCAGTTCACATGTGAAGGAGACGTGACAAGAATTACTACTAAGCACCTGTTCTCACCCATCTGTCCTCTTCTGTCTTGTAGAGCACCTGAAGAAGCCACTTGAAGACTACATGGCCCTTTTCCCCAGCGTGAGGATTCTTCGAACCAAGAAACGGGAAGGGCTGATAAGGACCCGAATGCTGGGGGCCTCAGTGGCAACTGGGGATGTCATCACATTCTTGGATTCACACTGTGAAGCCAATGTCAACTGGCTTCCCCCCTTACTCGGTAGGACAGCCCCTCCCACTTGGAGGGAGGCAAACTGCAATGAGCCAGTGCCAGTGGCCCCTCCTGCTGCAGGGAGCCATCCATGAGGCCTCCCTTGCCTGCTCGAGATGCCCCCAGCACAATGCCAGGTGTCATAAGGGATTCAGAAGTTCAGGAGTGCTTAAAATTAACATCCAGCCAGTCCTGTCCCTTCATTTCACAGAGAAGTTAAGACTCAGAGAGGGGAAGTGACTTTCCCAAAGTCACACAGCACATGAGCATCTAATGACATGACTGCTTCCCTCAGATTACTTCATTTTATTGCAAAGCAAGCCCATGCTGTCTGCTGTTAATAGCCACACTGTGGGAGACATCATCGTGTCAGCTTAGAAAAGTTGCCATAGACTGCTGCCACTGTGAGCCAGGCAGTTATAAGCATTATCTCTAGTCTTCACAAAACCATGCAAGGTCAAGAGCATACCCCTTACGTAGTCAAAGAAACTAAGGTTCTGAGATATTCAGTGACTCGCTTGTCCCCTTGGGCTGTAAGTGTCAAAGCCACCATCTGTCGGGCTCCAAAGTCTTCTCCGTCACAGCTCTACACTGCCTCCCTGTATTCACTTCCTTTTAGACAAGAGTTCCTGACAGCTATCAGAGAAGGGCTGTAGAGAGGGCAGCATGATCCAGGAGCCCTCTACCACAGCCTGCAGACAGCAGGGAGATGGGAGGACTGGAGTTCGGGTGGAACATGCCTCATAGCTGTTTGAGGAACGAGGCCTGAATCTTGAGGAGTTGGGTTTTGATGAAGGCAGTGTACTGGTCCTGACAGGCAGACGCGCAAGAGGAACTGTCCCATTGAGACTGGGAGTCAGGTGAGGGATACAGCCAGGGCTGGAGGCAGACTGGGGAAGAGTTATCATTCTGGAGCAAAAAATGAACTCCTTAAGAAGAGATGGGTAAGCTCTCCACTACAGAAAGCTTAGGGAGCAAAGAGGATTGAAGTTTAGGGAAAACTTGAGCATGCATCAGAAGCACCTGAAAGACTGTGAAAACACAGTCCCTATCCAGAATTTCTGATCCAGGAGGCCCGGGCTGGAGCCTCGCAAGTTGCATGTCTAACCAGCTCCCAGTGAGGCCAGTGCTACTGGTCCAGGGACCACACTTTGAGAAGCACTGGTTATGGAATGCCACCATTCAGGGGTGAGAACAGAAAGCAGAACCCACACAAACACACAGAAAGATAATCCTGCAAATCTGTAACCCAGATCAGCAAGGAACTTTCTTATTAGATTCTGTGCTTCTGACCCCAAGGGTCCAGGATCTCACTGGGCTAGGAAAAGGAAATAACTCAGAATTTCTGGTAAACTATTTAATTAAACCAAGAGATATTCTGCATTTGCCTCTCATTACTGAAAGAAAAAAAAAAAAGAAAAAAACCTCACTGTAAATTGCCTAATTTATAGTCCTGAAGGAACAGCCAATTTGTAGGGTCATTCAGTGACTCATAAAGAGAACGAAGTGGTGGGCTAGAAGCTGAGCTTGTATCTAAATAGCCCTTAACTCTGTTTCTATGGAAATATATGAGGGCAGTTCTCATCATCTGCAGACATACATGGAAGAAACATCCCCTTGTTGGTTTTTT